CAGTAGTCACTGACAGTTACATCGATGGACCATTGCGCCTGCGATGGACCGTCGTATGTCTCTGTCGTACCAGCGTTCGCGCAGATATTGACATGATCTTAGAGGCGAGGGTGCCGAAGTCTGAGGCCCCTTCTATCGAGCGTGCTGAAGACACAGTGTTGGCGGCCCTATTCGCCACTTCAGAGATTCCACCACCTCCCCCTCGAGAACATGCCAAGAGGCGTAGGGGTCGAGCAGAAGACGAGCCGAGCACGGAAAAAGGAGCGCCGAGAGATGGAGGCTGTGAGGAGAGCCTCACTTGCTGAGGAGGAGGCGCACCAGATGAGAGCATCAGAGTTAGCGGCTGGGGCGTCTAGCTCCCGAACTGTGGAGATAGCAGGAGGCACTACTGATAGTGCGCTTGTTGCTGAGGATACCACTGAGGGTGTCCAGATTGCAGAGGACGTGGGTTCCGGGGAATCGGACCCACCAGCTTGCTGATCAACGGTGCTTTGCGCCACAGGTTTGCTTCACCAACCACTATAGTATTTAAATTTTTATGCATTGAGGACAATTGCAGATTTTTTTTGTTAAGGGTGGGGTAAATGGACAGTGAGTGTTAGGTGAAGTCTGAGTAGCCCAATTCACTATCCTCTTTTGGGGTTTTCTTGCCTGTGTTCTTTTTCCCCACAGACTGATTACTTTTTCTGTTGAACCGACATGTCTATATCTTTCGTACATAGTTTAATTCTGGAGCATGATGGCTAAAATGATATCCTGATAAATTGGAAAATGATGCATGACTAGAGATAGTAACTGATGAATGTGTGGCTCTAAGCATGACATAGAGGTACACCATTGCCTTACCCTAAGTTTAAAATTCGAACTAGGTGTCTGATAATCTGGTAGTGATGAGATGTCAAGTGAGTGTAAGGAAGATTTGAATAGTCCACTATCTGTATTGAGCTAGAACTTGCTTGGTTAGTCCTGCTAAAAGTTAGCTGTAATAGACAATTAGGAAAGGATCATAGGCCCTTATTCAATATAGCCCCTTTTTAGCCTAAATAAAAGAGAACCAAATGAAATTTATCCTTCTTAGATCCCAAATGATCTGAGCTTAAATTAGACCTTTCTTTTTCACCCCAACTGTTCTTTTCTGGGAATAATGTGTTGGCCCTGGTCCCTCCTTGGACATGTGCACCTCAGCTTATGCCAAAAGCATAAGTTGAGGGTGGCTAATACAGTAAACAACCTTCGTTATGACCCTGACCCAACTTTGGGTATTGTGTACCTTGACTCATGGCACAACCATGAGTTGAGGGTGGCTATTATGAGGAATGCTCTGGAAAGTGAGGTTGAAAGAACAAAGCGAGAGAAAGAACAAAAGTAAAGTGACTCAAGAATTAGTTGAAAGAAAAGTAAAGAAAAAGAATAATATACAAGAAATACAAGCAAGAAAAGAAGAGAGTCACTTACACAAATGAAGAAAGAAGAGAAAAATAGCAAGGTGAAAGAATATGAGAAACTAGGCGAGATAAAATGATAGAAAGTGGAAGGTTTAGCCGATATGTCAAGGAGGGAAAAAAGTCGCTAAAATATACCTAAATATACCCTACCTGACCCTGAGCCTATGTTACAATCTAAGAAAGTCCTATCGTGATCCTAAGGGTTGTATAGTGAACTTAAGGCAGTGAAAATAAGGGCAAGCTTATGGCAATAGGTATGAATGAGTGTGACTTTTTTTCTGAGAGCGAGTGTTGAAAAGTAATCCTTATACTCAAACTGAAATCATTGTGTGAAAAATGAGGATTTTGTTTTAAAGTAAGGACACTAGTTGCAATACCGGAATTGTTAGCACCTCGGTGAAAAATTGAAGAGGATAGGTATTAGCTCATGGTGAGTCTGTGTCATGTTCTGATCCCACATAATTCAAGCCTAATAGTGATAGCATGCATAGATTTAATGAGATTAATCGGAATTGATAGCCAAATGATTGCAAAGGATGAAACATGGATACTATTGTACAAAGATTTTGTATTGAGTCATAGTGTGTCGCTTGAGGACAAACAACGAATTTAATTTGAGGGTGTTGAAATACCGTGGTTTCACGGTATTATTAATACTTTTTTCTTAAGTTTAGTGTGTCCAAAAGCCTTTTTGTGCTAATGTTTTTATAAATTTCTCTTTATTTTGCAGGAAATCTATCCAAAGATGAATGCGGAGATTTTGAGCGAAGAAATGCAGAAGAGACCATCTACAGAGCTTGTGACGGTCTGTCATGCTTGCGACGGTCCGTAGGTGGCAGCGTAGTGCAACTGCTGAAGGAAGATGGGGAAGTCTGACCAAGTGTGGGGCCACGGAGTTCATGACGGTCCGTCGTGTCTATGACGGTCCGTCCTGCAGGTTCGTCATGAAGTTAAGAGAAGTAGTCCCAGTACCCATATTCCAAGAGTTCAAGTGTTTTGAAACGAAGACCCTCGACGGACCGTTGTGCCTATGACGGTCCGTCATACCTGCCGTCGAGGGTAATGAAGAGAGCAGCAGAAGAAATTGCATAAGTATGGGACGACGGAGTCCATGACGGTCCGTCGTGACCACGATGATCCGTCGCGAGTTCCGTCGACCCAGCCGTGTTTTGACAGATTTCCAACAAATAGAGTCCCTGTTTAATTAGGTTTTTATTTTCTATAAAAAGTTCGAAACACCTCGTTTTTGAGGTTAGACTTGGGATCATTGTTAGACTCTGTATTGTTAGACATCATATTAGTAGACACTATATTGTAAGACTTTTGAGAATCATTAGACTTTTTGTGAGATTGTTGATTACTTTGAGATTCTTGCAAGTGATTATTGGCGATTAATCAAGCAAACTTTCGGATTTTACTCTTTCTCATCGAAGTAAGTACATGAATTCTTATTTAATATATTTGAATATTGTGATTGTAACTATGAGTAACTAAACTCCATAACTAGGGTTGTGGGAACCATAGGCAAATAATGAGATAAAACCTAACTAAAATAACGATTCTAGAATAGTGTCTTGCATGTATTAATAATTCTTTCGCTTAGAAGACTTTTTAACGGATGACCAACGTTAGAACTCGCCTTAATGCTACTTGTCGGACCAAGGAGGTAGATAATAAGAAAAGAATTATCAACATAGATTTAGTGTATACTATCTAATAGGCTAGTATTGATTGGTACGAGGTAATAACTTAGTCAAATATCGAATATGATGCTTAATATTAGGTAAAGATAAGGGTTAGGATAGCAACACACGTAGCCGGACCAAGGTGCGGAGTGAGATTTTCTAGATGCCAGACCAAGGATTTAGAAATACATAACTTATCACTTTGCATGCAAGATACTAGGAAAGAATTGTCAGGAGTTAGAATTATCAAGTTATGAACTTGTGGGGAATACGTAAACCCTAGTTACTTTGATTAATTGATTAAAATCCAACATTCAAAGATGTTAAGTGTCTCTTTCAATTGCGTTAGTTATTTTCATTCATTTAGAAATAGAAACCCCCCTTTTATTGTTTTTACTTTCCAAGGAAGTCATTGACTGAAAAATAGTAATAATAGATTGAAGTTAAGTCTAGACTATTTTCCTCGTGGGAACGATCCCAACCTCACTAGTTGGGTTATTTACTTGACACAACCGCTTTGCTTCTTATTTGAGAAGTAAGTTTGAGCGTATCACTTATGCATAGTATGGTTTGGAAAATTTGTTACGTTTGGTTATTAAAGGAAAGAAGGAAGGATTTCACTTCAAAGTGTTAGTTTAGAGTGTAAGGTAAAATATTATAGATTATCGGTCAAGGAATAAAATTGTTGAGTGAGTTAGCGAAATGAACAACAATCTTGTTTATTGAAATGTTCAATGGATTTGAAATTGGTGTCATGGGTAGAATTTAAGAAAGGTGAAGTAATCAAACCTCTCATATATAGACCCATGGTTTAAAGTTGAATGTTGTATGAATTTTCTCTTATAATCTTGGATATGATTATGAAGTGTGCACTGGTTCAACATAAACTTATTAGGAGTTTATCATTTATTTTATTATAAATATTGAGTCTTGGTTTGGGTAGAAAATGGTGAGGTATGAAAAATTTAGTGTTTACGTAGGGGTAAATTACTCAAATTATGATAGATGACTAAAGAATGATGTATAAGGTAAGATCTAATTCTACTTGGTTATTAAGCATTTTGAGTTGGGTTAATACTTCTCTATTGATGAGACTACATAGAATGTTAAGATGCGTTACATAGACATTTGATGGTGAATAGAGGTTATGAGCTTATAGTATACAAAATAATTTGAGAGACCAAGAATTTCCCCAAGTGTTGACCTGAGGTATGCGATGACTTAGAGTGGAAGCTAAAGCATGGTATGTGGAAGTAGTATGGAGTTGACTTTGAGTATGATTAGTTTTATCTCGATGAAAAGGTTCTATCAAATTTAAAATTAGTGCTATTAGCCTTGTTTGGGAACTCGTATTTTTCATGAAATGCTTAAATAAAAAGAGATGTAACCAAGTTTGAACATGTAATTCATAAGAATACTTTAATACTAATGGTGGTTGTGAGTAAGGTAGATGGACGTTGTAGTTATGATGTTTATTAGTGCTAAGAGTGTTGACTTCAATGGATGAGGCCTTCGATAGGGACTAAATTGGTGATTGTGGGTAGCTAGAAAATCAGAGAAATATAGTCAGATGAATGAAAATGTATGATATAGACACTATGGAAGGAGTATCTGGAGTTATTCAATATCAGTTATGTGCATTTATTTACGTTACCAACTATTTCAGTCTGACCGTAATTTAGAGTATGATTCACTTTCTACGTTTGTGTGTGTTTTCTCTTCGAAATGTGAGTCCTTGATGGTGGATCGGATGTATCAATTCTTGATTTTCCTCCTGGTAGGATGGCATTCTAAGTTAGACTTGTTCATTTCAGTTACGGGAGATTTTACGTTGTTTGGGATAGTTGAAGTATTTATGTGATTCTACACGCACAACTTTAACTTATCCCAAATAAAACCAAATAGCACAACATAAGGATATACCACCCCCAACTCCATCTAACCCAACGCTTAACCCATACGTACAGCCAAACCGACCGGACCCGACCCCATCACTCTTCTTCTTCACACGCGATCCGACCTAGAAACGCGTGAACGCTAGTGAAACCCAGAAATTGCGGAAATTTACAGCATACAACAGCCATACTCGACAAGCCTTGTCATGTCTTCTTCGCTCCAAAACACAAGGATAAGTCACGTCCAACAGTACTCATGTATGCCCTCTTCTTCTTTTCCTTAAACTCAGCCGACTCCAGCTCCAGATGGCACGCCTGCTATTCAACAGCCGCGTCTCGCCCTCTTTTCCCTTTTCTGTCTCTGAGTTTCAGAGCAAAAATACAACTCTCTATTAATTTTTTTTACTGTTTTCTCGAAAAGGAACTAGTTGATTCAAAATCCAACGGATTTTGCCCCCTAGTCGCCCAAGATTTTTTTGTTTAAATAGCCCTTTGCACTCAAGTGATGAGGGAAGGTTTTTGAATTTGGATTCTTAGAAGAAAATTTGAGCTTGGTTTTAAAGCAATTGTCACTTCTACACTTCAAATTTTTATATCTAACTTCTTAATTCTAAGTTCCGACAAGATCGACGCTCGAATTTTCTTGGCTTACGGTCCGTATTCGAAAATCATGGTAAAATAATCACCCCTCTCAAACTCGTTCGTCCCAGTCGCTGCTCATAGAAAGGTAACCTCTTCAATTCGTTTATCTCGACTTTATATCTACTAGATTGTATAATCTTTATTTCTGTTTGGTTGTTGTTGTTCCTATGAGGAACTTATTTTTATGCCAACCAATATCCTGTTCTTATTAGTAGTGTACTAATGTTCTTGCTAAGGTTCTCGATGCTATTCATATTCGTTCAAATATTAAGTTCTTGCATAAGTTTCATGCGCTCTAGTTTTGGTTTAAGCTTTTCAAAGTAGCACTCCTCCCGACTTCAGTTCGATTTTGTTTTAGATTATAATGATTTATTTGTGTTATTATGAAGAGTTATTTTGTGTCTTAACCTGCAATATCTTCCGTTGTTGTTACAGTTTAGGTCGTTTCGTTGTTTAATTTAGAAATATGATCTATTTGGTTTGCTTTGATCCCTTAATCATAGAGTATGCAATTTCATAATGCAATTGTTATACTCATTTAAAATCAATTCGTACATAGCTCAATAATCTTACTCCATGTCTCCTTTTTTTGTGTATATTTATTTTGATTAGTGTGAATTCACTTCATGCTTATTTGGTCTCCAGTACCTTAGCATGTTTTCCCTATACATTCCCTGCTTGATATATATTAAAATTTGCATTCAAATACTCCTGGTATATAATTTCTACTTTGTAAGCTAATCTGCTTTTCATGTTTAGGTGTGGCATGATTATTTGAACTAGTTAATAGAAAGGTTTAGAGGTGTACCAATGTTCTCACCATAATATGATTTTATCTTGATTAATTTTTACCCGATATTGCACATGCTGTGAGACTAGTTTGAATAGCTCGAGTAATCATCATGCACTTTTGTCTCCAATCTACTTACTTACTTAGGACTTCTTATTTATTTTTTTTTGTTTGAAGTCTCGAAACTACCTTATAAAACTTGGATAAATATTTGTCTCGTTCTGTTTGGAATAGTTTGGCGTTCATTTGGTTTCACCTATGTTGGCTATTGACCTGTTTTTTTTCTCTAATGTATGCGCGTGTTCATTTGGTCCTGAACTTCTCAACTATGTTAATCTCTCATAAAGTCTATAATCTATTGTTCTCGCTTGGTAGGATTGATGTTTATGTCTCTTGGGATTAACCCATGATATACATCTTTAAATTTCAAAATAGCTAGCCCCTGTAAATGATCTGCGTGTTCCTTCATTCGGCTTCAATTCTGTTTCTTGTCATGATAAATTTTTGGACAGTTGTTTCTCATTTTGTGTTCATTTTTCTATCGGGCACGACTTTAGCATTTTTCTGACCTGCTCGTTTATCTTTGCTGTTGTTCTTTAGGACAAATGTTCTATGATAAACTGATTCCTCCCCTGTTAAATGTTTATCCCTATTTCATAATTTCGTCACTGCTTGGTAATCTTTTTTGGATGCCTGTGATTATTCTTTCTTTTAGCTTAGCATGGACTGTTAACATTTACTTGGCTCCTAATGCCCTGGGTTCTATATATATATATATATATATATATATATGTATATGCTTACTAATTTAGTGTTAATGTCGGCATATTAAAGGATTTTTATTCATTTCTTTGGAATGTTGTATAGTGTTTTTACATTAAGTATTAACTAAAGTCGTCCTAACCTTCTTGGCTTCAATTGTTAGTGTCATTCCTTACCAGGTTTTGATTATTAAATGGGTTGGATACTATATGCATTGTTATGGATGTTAAGTGTTAACAATATGTTTAAATAGCCATTTGTTTTATCATTAGCACGACTCAAGTCTTTTGAATTTGTACTCCTTATCTAGATCAACACTATTTAATTCAATCGAGCCACTTTCCATATATTTGTTAGAGAATTGCTATGATTTGTCTTGGGTATATTTTTGCTCTATTAATTTCGGATACTAATCAATTTTTTTCAGTTCTATTACATGTGATACCAATCTGAGTTCATTTTGGACTCATTTCCTTCATTTATTTGATTCAAAAAATTTCGACTCAGCCCCATCAATGTCCGACGATGATGGAACCTGAAACAGGCTCCGGACAGTTCGAAACTAGCTGCATGCTTTCTGTATACACTAGTATACACTATTAATATATTGATAAACAGGTCAAAATGCAACAAATACTAGTAAAAAAAGAATATACAGGTTGGAGGCGTCAAGTTGTACTGTATATAGTTGATATATGAGCTGATATGGAGGAAGTGGTGCTGATATGCGATCTGTATACACTGATATACGGATTGTGTATACAAACTGGGATTAGGTTAAAACCCAAAAATCTGCAGCGAAATTGGTCCAAGAAGGGCCCAATTTCATTATCTCTTTCACTCTCCTAATTGTTTTGATTATATTGACTAATTTCATTTAACTCTAACTTTAGAATTGGTAATTAACTTACTTCAATCCTAAAAGATGAATTATTTTCTTTATGTTGGTTTACTATTTAAACATCTTTTGCAATCATTTATTTATGTATTTATTATTTTGTCAAGTATATGAGAAATTAATGTATTTAGTTAATTCCAATCTATGCTCTTAAAAAGATATATTCTTTAATGAGTTTTCTTGCTCAAATTGATCAATTTGGTTCGAGTAATTATCTTTTAAAATGATTAAAAAAAAAATCTAATTTGGTTAATTTCTATTCACTTATAATCAATTTCAAAACTCTACTTAAGGTTCCATTTTCTTAAAATAAAAGTAAAAAATAATCTTTGTTTAAATAATTTCTTAAAGTTGATCGAATATTGTTAATTATTATATTATATAATGTTCCTACAAATAGTAAAAAAAACACTTAACCTAAGTCGTAGGATAACTGCATGTTAGCGGACGCTTGAAGTGCCCTAAAAACCTTCTTGAAGCGTAAATAAGAACCTCTTACCCATTTTTTCTAAATTTATTAAAATTTAATCTGTTAAAATCTTCTTAAATTAAGTTTTCTTAATTTCTTTAAAAAATTAAGTGGCGACTTTTTTTAAGTATTTTTCTAAATTATTTTATTCTAAAAAATATTTCCAAAAGTGATTTTTCTAAAGATAGATAAATTACGGCATAACAATTACCATCAACTCAGTTTGTTATTACTTTACTTTTTTATGAGTTACTGTGATATCTACTCATTACTCTATTTTACTATTACTTTAGTTTAATTCTTAATATTTTTTTTATTCATTATACTTACTAAAAATTTCTACTTTAATATAAAATTCAGTATTTAAAAGATATAATTAATTACTTTTACTTTGGCTCTAATTAATATACCTGAAAAGAAATAAGTGTGATAAATTAATAACATATATTAGATTGAAATTTAAGAATAAATAAAAATAGTTTTAATATTGAAAAATAATATTTAAAAGATGTCAAAAAGTAACTTTACAAATAAAATGAATAGGATAGTGTATTTGCATTTAAAGTAAACTAAAAATGTTTACTAGATTATAAAAAAAGTAGTTCTTCATTAAAATGTATAATATTTTTTTTACTTTTATTTGATTCAAACATATTAATCTGAATAGTGAACTAGTGTAAGTTTGATATAAATTCAAAGTTGACTAACAAAACGTTATATTTTTCTAGGGAAATTTTTCAAAATGTCATATTTTAGCATTTAAGAAGACTCATTAGCAACAATTTTAATATTTAGTAAAAATGTCATTTTAGTTTGTTATGTATATTATTTATATTTTTATTATTTATTTTTATTTAAAGAATATAATTATTTAATAACAAAAAGGAGAAAATTAAGGGGGGAATATTTCAAAAAAAGGCAAGCATCCTTAATTTTCTCATCAG